ATCAGTCAAGGCACCCTTTGAAATTCTGCACAATCTTGAGGCACCCCATTCTAAAATGAAAAAAAAAAAAAAACCTAAACATACAGTTTTACATAACAGCAACATCCACGCGTGTAGGACACCCATTATTAGAGGTGATTTATTCTTTCAAAGCAAATGAACCTTTGTACACTGGTGCGGAGTAGTATTCCAATGTTTTTCTGCTTCAGTTTCTCTCCTTCACTCAGATGATGTGACCCCAGTGCTGATAGAGAGGAGCAGAGTAGGGGCAAACAAGGATGCTGTGCTTGCACCAAATGTCCTCTTTATCCAACCACCTCGCCAATGGTTTTTTGGACACTGGTGGCTAGGAGGTTGCAGTAGTGCAATCTAGTGCAGTAGTGGCTTTGTGTTACTAAAAGGCAGGCTGATTTAATCACTGGCTTGGGTGCAATTTGTAGGCATTTTGCCAAGGCACCTCTGAAGACACTCGAAGTCACCCTGGTTGAAAAAGGCTGCTATATAGCATTCTCTCAAACAAGAAAATTTTCTGCATATTAAGACTCCTTGGATCTCTCATGCACACCCAGGACTGGAATTGATATTAACACCACAACTTCAATTGCCACATTTTTTTTTTTAAATTCTAGAACATGCAAATACATATCTAAATAAAGCTTGATATATACATGCACACAGCCTGGTCTGAGCTCCAGCAAATACCCCTCCATCTTTATTCTCTACTTTCAACCCATTACAAAACTCCTCAGTCTTCTATGATGCTGAGACACACTAAAAGACCCATACCAATGTCCTTCTTCAAACAACTACAATAAAATAATAGTAAAAAAACCAAAAAACCTTAGTTGTCCATATTATCAGCGACAGCACTACTTACACTTCAACGTAAGGTAAGGAATGGAAATTGCCTTGATACTTAACTATCAAAATACTTCTAATACTGATGGCTATGGAGCAAAAAAAGTCAAGGACCCGCTCCACATCTTCTGATGACCAGGTTAACTTTGTTTCTCGGTGAGCCTGGGGGAATCAAGATGCAGTTCACTGATCTCATCTGGGATGAAGGGCCCTGCATTAGAACTTTAGGGGTAAATTGTGTCAAACCCCAGCTGGGTCCATCTCTTCCCAGTCTTCACTCTCTGGGAGGCAGAGGTGGAATCAGTGGTATAAGACCACTGTGACTGAAATCATAGAGCAGTTCTCAGTTCCTTTATGAAGGTAATGTAATTAAAAAGTTCACCTTTACAGAAAATCTGTAAGTTGATCTAACACTGTACTACCTCTTGGACCTGTACCCACAATGGCTGAACCCATGCAGTGAGTAAATTGCAAACACAATGGTTACCGTGCGGTGTCACTCCAAAAAACATTGCTACTGCCGCAACCACCGCTGGCTTCATGACGCATCGTGACGTCATCCAAAGCCCTGACCCGTTTCATCACTCGTCACGTTACTTTCTCAAGGGGAATGTAATTACGGGCATACATTGACAGTAGAGGCTGATTACACTTGGTGCGACTGGGCACCCTTCACATGTGAATGCGCATTTTATTTGTTTAGAGTTAATAAAATGTTTTAAAGTTTACGCACTATCTGGAGTCTTTTCTTTAAGAGGTGAAATGATGGATGAAGGTAAATTCCAGAGAAGTTGTGATTCAAGACGATGTGTCCTTTCAAGACGATGGAAAGCTAGTTACTAGGCAAGTCAACATGACAGGTTGACAGCGCACACAGCTGGTTCGGGGGACCGGCTTCTCCAGGTAACAACACAGAGCATGTGCGGATGCAGTTGCGCAATGGACATGTGTTGGCGCCATGTTTAACAGGGTTGGCGCTCCTTTATGAGAACCATTATATGCCTATGGGATAATCTTGTGCCATAGATTTGTGACCATGTGCAATATTCAACTAGGTGAGATTTTTTATTTTTAATAAGTGGATTATTCCCCACTTTTTTCTATGCGGCTTTTCAAACATTAACATTGTTGGACTGAGTATTCTCATCCTTGATGAAGCAATACTGATTGATATAATATACTAGACATTTTTTTTCTATTATCACTTACCTCAACAATATATATTATGCTTTTTTTTTTTTTTTTTTTTAAGATTAGCACCAGTCTGGTCATAGTATACGCATATATTTTATGCACACACACACACACTTTCCATTCTAGACCCTCAAGACACAGTCCGCTGGACCAAGGGTTGGGGTGTTATAGGGTAGTCCCAATGTGAGGCACTCAGAGCCCAATTAGGTTTGGAGGTTCACCAACCGGCGATGATGGATGATTTGTTTTTATCTTAAACAACAGGTGTTTTGTACTCGATGGATGGTATGCAATGTTTCCGATATCAAACAACTTAAATAATTCATGTAAATGACGTTTGAGATATGGTTGCTTATGAATGTTAATTATATTGCAGAATACATCTTGCCATCCTCTCTCTACTGTGCCCCTTATAAAAGAAAATCTTTTCTGAAACACATCACGATGAATGGGATATTTACTTAAACCAAGCCCATGACTATATACAGAGTACTCAGCATTGGTTGTTCCATGCATAAAGTATTGTAATTTTTATCCTAGTTTGAAGATTTTCAGTTTCCCATTATCTGGGGGAAACTTGTTTGTTGCTATATAGCTTTGGGGATGTTGGCAAGGACTTAGTGGTTCTTTCTGGTGGAACTACTTATAGGCAAGAAAACTTGTTTAAAAAAAAAAAAAAAATTCAGAAACTCTAATTAAAGTCTGTTAGGGCCAAAATGAAACCACTCTGTCCTGAAAAAACCTGGTGTGGACACTATGCCCAGGTATGAACAAGGACCACTGAATATAATGGAAATTCTAGTGTGGAGTGTTAAAGCACTTCAAATCGCTCTTCATTTCTCCCAGATGTGAATAGAGTCTCACTTAATTCTCAACTGTATTCGCTGCATGCATAAAAATCCATTATGCTTCAGCTATCCAAAATGAGCCATATTCGGTCCTAAATAAGCCAGATACAGTGCCTTGAAAAATTATTCATAGCCCTTGAAATTTTCCACATTTTGTCATGTTACAACCAAAAAATGTAAATGTATTTTATTGGGATTTTATGTGATAGACCAACACAAAGTGGCACATAATAAGTGGAAGGAAAATGATAAATGTTTTTTTTACTCATAAATATCTGAAAAGTGTGCCGTGCACTTGTATTCAGCCCGAGTCAATACTTTGTAGAACCACCTTTCACTGCAATTACAGCTACAAGTCTTTTTGGGTAGATCTCTACCAGCTTTGCACATCTAGAGTGAAATATTTGCCCCTTCTTGTTTGCAAAATAGCTCAAGCTCTGTCAGATTGGATGGAGACCGTCTGTAAACAGCAATTTTCAAGTCTTGCCACAGATTCTCAATTGGATTCAGGTCTGGACTTTGACTGAGCCATTCTAACACATGCATATGCTTTGATCCAAACCATTCCATTTTAGCTCTGGCCGTATGCTTAGGGTAGTTGTCCTGCTGGAAGGTGAACCTCCGCCCCAGTCTGAAGTCTTTTGCAGACTAACAGGTTTTCTTCTAAGAATGCCCTGTGGCTCCATCCATCTTCCCATCAACTCTGACCAGCTTCAATGTCCTTGCTGAAGAAAAGCATCTTCACAACATGATGCTACTACCACATTTCATGGTGAGGATGGTGTGTTCAGGGTGATGTGCAGTGTTAGTTTTCCGGCACACACAGCGTTTTGCTTTTAGGCCAAGTTAAATTTTGGTCTCATCTGACCAGAGCACCTTCTTCCATGTTTGCTGTGTCCCCCAAATGGCTTCTCGCAAACTGCAAATGGGACTTATTATGGCTTTCTTTCAAAAATGGCTTTCTTCTTGCCACTCTTCCATAAAGGCCAGATTTGTGGAGTGCACGATTAATAGTTGTCCTGTAAACAGATTCGCCTACCTGAGCTGTGGATCTCTGCAGCTCCTCTGGAGTTACCAAGGGCCTCTTGTCTGTTTCTCTGATTAATGCTCTCCTTGCCCAGCCTGTCAGTTTAGGTGGATGGCCATGTCTTGGTAGGTTTGCAGTTGTGCCATACTCTTTCCATTTTCCGGTGATGGATTGAACAGTGGCTCCATTTGATGTTCAAAGTTTGGGATATTTTTTTTTATACCCTACCCCTGCTTTAAACTTCTCCACAACATTATCCCTGACTTGTGGTATGTTCCTTGGCCTTCATGATGCTGTTTGTTTACTAATGTTCTCCAACAAACCTCTGGAAGACTTCACAGAACAGCTGTATTTATACTGAGAATAAATTACACACAGGTGGACTCTATGTACTAATTAGGTGACTTCTGAAGGCAAGTGGTTCCACTAGATTTTAGTTAGGAATATTAGAGCAAAGGGGGCTGAATAAAAATGCATGCCACACTTTTCAGATATTTCTAAAAAATTTAGAAAACCATTTTTTCATTCTCCATCCACTTCACAATTATGTGCCACTTTGTGTTGGTCTATCACGTAAAATCCCAATAAAATACATTTATGTTTTCGGTTGTAACATGACAAAATGTGGAAAATTTCAAAGGGTATGAATACTTTTTCAAGGCACTGTACATCTCTTCTCTGACCATTTCTTTAACTAGGGCCTGAATTAAATGCCACTACTTGCCACTGACTCACCCTCAGATTACGGGATAGTTGCTGACAAGTTTTAGTAATGAAGTCATATTCCAATCATAACCAAACCAAGCCAGACGGTCACAGAAAAAAGGTAAAAGGCAGTCATCCTGTGATTTATATATATATATATATATATATATATATATATATATGGAACATGTTTACATTAAGCACAAACTATGCCGGCTGTAATGGTAATCTGTAAAATGAGTTTTGGAACGCATAGTTTAGGTTTGTATTTTACATGACATTTTTGGCCTAGTCAGTGTAGTCAGTCTCAAAAACATGATACATAAACAGCACTAATACCATTTTTAATACAACATTAAAAAACATACCGCTTTCTGCTGTTCTTTGAATTCTGACCAGATCTTTTCCAGTTCAGGAAGAACTGGAGTTCCTGAAAGCTCCAAAGCTTTGATTATATCTCCTGCATAACGTGCCTGATCTTCTGTGATGAATGTAAAGGCATAGCCCTAGAAAACAACAGCAGGAGTTGCACATTTACTGTTCAGCTCTAGCAAGAACATTTATAAAACATACCAAATAGGACACTACACACAGTACTCATTTCATGTAATGAAAACAAGTTGTTTCATCCAGTAACCAACTGAACTCTTCTGTGGTTTCTTTTAGTTAACCTGCATTGAAAAAATAGATTTTTTGTACCAACTGTAAAATAAATTTTCTTGGACTTTCACTTCCTCTTCCACTGAGGTACACAATCCTGAACCTTTGAGTAATATTGCCACCTACAGAAGAACTGAACACTGATAAAGAAAACTGTAGGCCCTGCCTAGGGTATAACCCATCCTGCTAGTGGAATTCCTCTAACAGAGGACCAGGCGATGGCCTTGCAAATATGGGAAACAGAGGCCTGACGCCAAAAAGCCCAAGAAGCGTTCACTGCCCTAGTGGAGCAAGTCTTAATTGGAAAGGGGGAACCCAATCCTTAAGATCACAAGCCTAAACAATATTCTGTCTGTGCCATCTAGGAATGGTGGAACTTGAAGTTGGGCCACTTCCTGGGCCTACTGGGATGACAAAAAGGTAACTGGACTTCCTGGAGGCAAAGGAGGGAAATTTCATTTTCATGAACTGAAGCCAGACAGAAGGAGGGAATAGCAATGTCCTGGTTAAGGTAAAAAGTGGAGACTACCTTGGGAAGAAAGTCAGTCCTGAGCCTCAACAACCTTGTCTATGCACAAAAAATAAAAATGTTTTTCCAGGATAAAGCTACCAGCTCACTCACTCACCTAGCCGAGCTGATGACCACCAGAAACACAACCTTGTGGGTGTTGCCTTGTTAGGCACATAAACATTTGGATTCACAGTGAGAATGGACCACTTTTTAACAGAACAGTCACTAAGAGGGTACAAAGACAGCAAGCATATAGGAAGAGTAGGACAAACCACCCAGTGTGCTGCACTACACCAAATACATAAAATATTAATGTGCACAATTCAAAAAGATTCCAAGATAATTAATGTGGACATGAACAGCAATATGTATATATACTGAACCCAAAAATTATGTATGTATATAAAACATTTAATTGATGGTCCATGCAATAATAAATACATGTGATGAAATGTGAAAATCCTTCTGCCAACACCACGGCAGATCCCTGTGTGAATCACAGCGAGCAAAAGGCTTATAAATGGCTCTCACCTTAAAATACAGACCTTCTAGTTACAAACGGTCTCATAGCACTTGTTCACTTAGCAGCTGGTATCAGCTAAACAACTGGTTCAATGATCTTCTCCTTCACATCAAAGATAATAAAACTGACCAAAAAAGGATACAAAATACAACAAATCGTGCTCTCTGTATGTGAATGTTTATTCCCTGTATTAGAATGATAAAACTGCACTCACGTAACGAAATTAAACAGAGGCTAAACACCGTTAATCAAAGTGGGAAGTAACCTGCAGGCTCATCGTTCCACAGTTCAGTCTGGCTGGCAGCTCCCATTGCTCAAAGATCAGGCTGTTTATTCCATATTGGAATATATTAAAGGCAAGTTTATGGATGAATATAAGCATAAAAAAGAAAGCAGAGTCTGCTTTAAATAAGAAAAGTAGGAACAACAACAGTAACATGCAACAAAAAACACATGAATACAAAAGGCTAAACGTGTGAAGGCCAATAAAGTGACCTTCCGAAGGTTACAGTTGTGCCGTCACAAAAGGGGATATCTTAATTGCAAAGAATAAAATTACAGATGAACTGTATCAGTTGAAATGCAAAGAGGTGGTTAATACTGCCAAGGAGGAAAAACATTGAAACTGCATTCACAAATGGGTCTTTTGAGTCTTGGGCACAGAAGTCCTGACATAATAAAGAAATTAACTGAGAATGACTATGCAAGTGGAATGACAATTAGTCCATGTGATCAAGCAATGAAATGAACCAGCTGTATAAGAAGAAAAATGACAAGAAAAGCCTTTCTAAAGCAGAGTAATAGAAAAGCTAAGAAACCTCTGAACTTCATTCAGATCTTTGCAGTCCAATGGAAAACTTGACTCCAGGAAAGAAAAGGTATTCTCTTACTTTTATAGATGATTACTCCAGTTATACTAAAATAAACTGTGTTAAGAGGGTGATAAGTTGTGTTAAGCTTTATTACAGCAACTCAAGGGGGTAATTCACTAGAGAGGTGTTTAATAAACAGTTTTAACTAAGGTAGGAACCAAATATCTCATCTCTTCACTTTACTGTGTAAGCTCTGTGATAACTACAGTGATAGTATAGGAATGTAAATGTTAAATAAACTGTGTTAGGATCACAAGAGTCTTAACACTAGAGTAAACTTAGTGTTAATCTCCTTGTTTTAACACCAAGTCAGACCAGGTGTTAAAGCCTTTTTTTTTCAGTGTAGAAGATGAACTTTCACTGTATAGTACCTAGTGACAAAGCTAACAGCTTATTGTGAGCAATAAGTGCTTCAGGACAATGCTGACAGTGCAGGGTATGTGCTCCTCTAGAACCCCAAGTCTGCAGCACTCACATATCATGCATAACTAATGACAGAGCAGAGTGAACATCTATGCTGAAAAACAGGAGAGCAGCAGACCTCAATGACAAAAAAGTGCATATTTTCTACTGCACAAGACCGCTTTCTTAAGCCACCCATACATGGACTGAAATCTGGCTGGTTCAGCAGGGACTGGCTTAAATTCGATCCATATATACTGTAGGCAGGCTGGTTGTACAGAAGTAGAGTGGTAGATCGACTTCTGTACAACCAGCCTGTCAGGTTTTTCCCAATTTATTAGTGATGGCAACTATAGCCTGCCGTACCAATCGGTGTACTCCGACAGAGGGAAAGTGTCCCTACTGTCAGAACACAAGTGCTCAGTGGGAAGGATTCCCCCATTCACACACTTGATGTGTGTGGATGGGGCAATCATGTCACATTTTTGCTCAATTCCCTTGTTGAACAAAAAAAAAAAAAAAAAAAAACATTGATTAACATATAGCCAGCCTTAGCATGTCTGACACTTGGAAGTTGACAAGTAGGTCAGATAGGTAATCTAAGCCTCGGTTCACACTATGAACTGCAGGTGAATCGCACAGGAACCGCACTGCATTCCTGCGCAATTCACATGTGATTCAGTGTGTTGTGATTTGAGCCCATTCATTTTGAATGGGCTTAAATTGCACCACAACGCACCAATGATGTACATGTCCCATGATTTTGGAAATGCACCGCAGCAGGATAACATGGTCGTTTTGTACCAAGCGATCCGGTGCAGGCACATGCAGAGCATTTGTGACCTGCGCTTGGGATGTAATTAAGATTGCACTGACAAAAAAAGCAAATAGACCGCTAATAATAATAATAACAATAACCTAGACTAACTATACTCACTTACTTTCAGTTGTTCCTAAGTGACAAATCGGCCTCTTCCTGTTGCTCTGTTCTTTGTAACACAAGATGGGCTGTAAGACTTTATTCATACCTTTGCAGTTCTGCGAGCTGCGTTTGCGCGGGCACGGCATCCCATTCATTTGAATGGGCTGCAGTGCCTGCATTTCATACAGGATAAGATTTTCTGCATCTTTTTTAAAATGCCACTGCACAGGGAACTTCCCATACTTTCCCACACCTGCAAACACACGTTTGTAGATGCATGGGGTGCTATTAAGAGTGAATGGCAGTCCTGCGCGTCTGTTAAGAGCAGCGCGTTATGGCTGTGTGTGGTTGGTTGCGGGTGAGGGAACAGGTGCCCACAAGCACCTGTGTAGGTGTGAAACTAGCTTAAAAGAGAAAAATAAATGTGACTGGAGATGACAGCAGTTAGGTAGAAGTGAGATGGATGGCAGGGGAATATTTAAAAAATAAATATATAAATATATATATATACATATTTTTTTTCCTCTGCATATATACTTTATTTTAATAAAGGTGTGTATATGCCTAAAATTGTTTTATTCTCTCTTTAACCGCATAACTCAGTTTTAAGTATTAACCTATGATCCTTTAGGGTGGAAGATGACAGGGGAAGAGTAGATTAAGAAAAAATATATATACACACACAGTATATACAGTATACACACACCTTTACAATATCAGTAAGGATGTGCACGTGCTTTTACATGTGTTTACTTTTTATTTTTAAAACAGTTCGGAGGAATAACCTATGATTCTTTAACCACTTGCCCTCCAGAGGATTTACACCCCTTCTTGACCAGGAATATTTTTGCTATTCGGAGCTGCGCTATTTCAACTGGTAATTGCACGGTCATGCAATGTTGTACCCAAACAAAATTTATGTACTTTTTTCATACAAATAGAGCTTTCGTTCGGTAGTATTTGATCACCTGTGCCCCCCCTTTTTTTTAATGCGCTATAAACAATAAAAGACTGAATTAAAAAAAAGATACATAAAAATTCTATAGTAAACTCAAAGTCGGTCATAAATTTAGGCCAAAGTGTATTCTGCTATATGTCTTTTGTAGAAAAAAAAATCCCAACATGTGTATATTAATTCCTTTGTGTGAAAGTTATAGCGTCTACAAACTATGGTATAGATCAGGGGTGGGCAAACTTTTTGACTTGAGGGCCGCAATGGGTTCATATATTGGACCCGGGGGCCGGACCAAGAGTAGATGAATGATGTGTATGGGTCATCCATAGTAAGTATAGTAATATTCCCCCATAGTAAGCATAGTAATTCATCCCCCATATACAGTTGTGACCAAAATTATTCAACCCCCACTGAAATTGAGTGTTTTGGCCAGTTTGACATTGCTTTTGATCATTCAGTCATCTTGCTTACATTTACATTAAAGAGGCACTTGTAGGTCAGACAAATATAACATAACAGTTATAATGAAATAACCACAAATGTCTTTTCTGTGCTCACAGCATTATCAGTTTTATTCAACCCCCAAGTGACATTCAATCTTAGTACTTAGTACAGCATCCTTTTACAGTTATAACAGCTTTTAAAACGTGAAGCATAGCTT